TACATGAATACACCTTATTGCTCCTGGATACCGACAGGGCAGCATGCTGGTTCAAGACACAAAGGTCCCAGGAAGGCGCTGCTGCTGTCTGACTCAGAAACCAAATTCATATGCAGCAGAATATTCAGCTGTTCAGTGGGAAATAGTTTGTTTAGCTAAGTGACAAAATAATTACCGCAGCTTGGTACAGTTACTGAGTGTAACTATTGCTTTAAACAGATGTAGCAGTAATATTTAACTTCCCGTAAAACAAGCAGGCAAGTTGCCTCGCATATGTAGACAATTATGATTGTTGTATAATGACTGGCTTAATGGAGACCGGAGGAAAAATGTGTGTGTAATGGTCTGGAAGAGACGCGCTATCGGTGGCACAGATCTGAGTGGGGAACTGTAACAATACCTTACCAGCTGGTCGTAATTTCGGAGAAAACTCCAATTCTTCTGCCTGTAAAATGCAACGAGTGGAAAGAGGAGGTTTATCTGCAGCTGCTCAGGCTGCTCACACAGCAGAAACGCCATGACGACTGAGTATATATCTGTGTTCAGGTGGTTTATATTACAGCAACTTCCAGAGTGACTAAATGCCGGATCGCCGGTAATAATTACCACTCCTTGGCTCCGTCCCGCTCCGCCCGCACGAACTCCCGCCACACCTGGTCCTGCTTAACTGGGTCACGGAAGTCCGGGTCCCGCGTCGGAGCCTCCCCGGTTCTCCCGAGGCGGACTTTGGCCGCCGGCTGCCTGAACGGCGGCCCGGAGGAATGCGAGGTGAGAGCTGCGGCCGCCGCGGCCGCCGGGTCCGGGAAGCGGTACCCCGCAGAGGCGGCACGCCGTGCGGATGCTTTCCTGCTATCCATCACGGGGGAGCCCGGCTCAGCTCGGACAGGTAAACAAGGGTGAATATGTGGGGTGTGTAATTCTCACAGAAGAGCGCGATTTCGGCCTCTTCACACGGATAAGAGTCCACGAGAGTCCTCCTCTACAGCCTCAGGCAGACTTGATGGCTCTCGCTCGTGCTGAGGGCCACGCCGGCTCTTGGCGTCTGTTTATCCGGCTGGTCGCCATGGAAACGGTGCCGCAGCTTATTCCTTCCGAGGGGAATCACTGAGGCGTCTTTTCGGATTATACCTACGAAAAGTGAGTCCACAGCATATGAAGCATATTATACACCAGTACCGTGAAACATTCAGCAAAGCAGGTCTGTAAGAGCTTTATATCAGGAAGGAAACCTGGTAAAATCAGAACTGCCGTTTCTATGAAGCTGCTCTCATAATTTATTGTAACATACACAGAACTGTAAGGTTTGCTTATGTGAAATGCTGCTGTTTGGTGAGCCCCCTTAATTACTCGGATAACTGCCTCGGGACGTGTCCTGACCAATATCGTGGGAGTACCGCACATGTTTAGGGGGGCAGGGGTTGGGGGCTGATTTGACCCCTAGCAGTGTTAATACCAAACCTATGCCCATGGACAGGGGCGCCGTAAGGGGGAGGAAAGCTAGGACGATACCCAGGGGCCCTAAAAAATTAGGAAAATAACTGAATTGGTTTGGACTGGGGGGCCTAATATGATATGCTTTCATGGGGCCCAAAATCTCTAGCAACGCCCCTGCCCATGGACATTGGATTTGATCGGTACTGCCTGGGAAAATACACTTTTTCTAGATTGAGATACAGTGCATAATAATTAAAACGGCAAGCCTCCCCAGGGGATATCTAGCAATGTCACAAAGTTGATTATGAACATTTTCAAGTACAAGAAAATTAATTCAGAGATGCAAGTGATTTCTTTCCATAGAATATTAGATTAAAGAAACATGTGTGGTGGGATTCCTGATTCCTGGTGTTACTTCATTTTTTTTTTTTTTCGTTTGCCTTTACGTTTGTCAGTCAGCCGAATTAAAACTGGTTTGGGTTCCGCGCAAGTATTAGGACACAAGCGCAGCGTGTCCACTAGATGGAGCCAGATTCCTTCACAGTTCTTCAGATGCCAGGTGTTTGATTTATAACAAGAAAGTTTACAATACCTGGTCCTTTAAAAGACTAGAAATTGTTTCCGCCGGAGATGAGTCTTTTACAGGAGTGACTGATTGGGATAAGGGCACAGTTTTGTATAAAATGACTCGTTTTCGCATCATTAGTTAGTCCATTATTTCTAGGATTGGGGCACCCATGATATCCAAACACCTGTGGCCTCCTGATCCAGGTACAGCTGTGTGTGTAACTGCAGGATGGCTGAGCTATTTGAGTCGCTGGTGGGGGTGTGGGAGTTATTTTCTGCTGTCAGTCATGGCTTCCTCTAAGCAACAGCACGTAGAATAGGTTAAAACAGTCAGTGACTCATTTTTCTGACCATTAATTAATTGGTAAATTGTGTAAGTTACGTAAGCTGCAGACTGCTGAGGGACGCTTTTGCCAAGTTAATAAATAGAAGTCATCACTCACCCCGCAGCCCCCCTCGGTGCTGTTTGGATGGACACTGATTCTGACCTGTAAACGACTTGCAGATGGGGTGGAAGGGGGCGTAGCCACGGGTGAAAGAAGCCATAGGAGCGAGGGGGCGTGGCCAGGGGTGAACGAAGCCATAGGATGAGGGGGCGTGGCCAGGGGGTGAAAGAAGGCATAGGAGCGAGGGGGCGTGGTCAGGGGTGAATAAAGCCATAGAGGCGAGGGGGCGTGGCCAGGGGTGAATAAAGCCATAGAGGCGAGGGGGCGTGGCCAGGGGTGAATGAAGCCATAGAGGCGAGGGGGCCTGTAGCTTTCATACGAGACAACGGAAGCTGCAGGGCTCCATGGCAACGCAGAAAGTGCCTGTGAGCGCCCACGCAGTCACACGGTCCTTGTGCGGCCGCTTCTGAACCTGCGTCTGGCTGGCGGCGAGGGAGCACTCTTTACATGGTCTGTGTATATATCTGTACAGACACTACGCTGTGCGTATATCGGCACGGACACTACACTGTGCGCATATCTGTACGCACGCTACACTGTGCGCATATCTGTACGCACGCTACACTGTGCGCATATCTGTACGGACACTACACTGTGTATGTAGGTTATATGTAAAGCAGCAATATGGAAGGACCATAAGGGCCGCGATATACTTAAGGTGAATCGACGCTACACAACGCAAGCAGTTAACTGTACTTGCACGAGTAGTTTACGTCTCTCTGGAGTATTAAAGGTCATGTCCACCAGGGAACAGTGCAAGAAAACCGTCTTGGTCGGTTCCTTCGTTTCCGGTCTCACTTGTTTTGTATGAGGTAGTGACATGAAATGATGCACACTCACTGTCTCCACAGCGATCCAGTTGCTATTTTTTTTATACTGCTGCAGCATTCTCTGCATTCTAACCACTGCTCCACGTCGTACTTCACTCTGCCACATATCACTTTACTACCCCAAGTTGAATGATGCAGTGTATGTTAGATATGTCGTAGTAGTTAGCATTGGGTAATTAGGCTGCATGACACTGGAAAATAAGTTTTTATGCAATAAGTATTGCAGTAATTATAAAGGAAAAAATAGTTACAAATAAATAAAAATCGCACAAACATGTCTAATGCATGAGTGATTTAAACAGCAAGGATGAAAATAATTAGGTTTGGGTTGAAGACCCCATGCAGAGCCGATGCAAAAGTAGCGGCAGTAAACTTTAAACTAATGTTAAACATTTACTAGATAATCCTGAAAAAGAGGCATTGATTAAAATTGCACAGCTTGCTAAATTTTGTTTCCTATAAGAATATAAATGTTCTAGCGAAACGTAAAACCCACGCTGTCTGCGAATTTTATAACCAAGATTTATAAATACCGGAATTGTACTGAAATTTCAGAATTTCAAGTTAGAGTCTGAGAAAGTGTTCTTTGTACATATGATGCTGCTTTCTTAGAAACTTAAACTGCCATTTAGTTTTGAGGTCGCTGTACACGGAGGGACACAATAGTGCTTACAATATTTTCTCTTCCCTCTGAAAATATACAGTTCTTCCAGCCATACATTCTTTAAAAATCAGATGTTACTTAATACTAACCACCGTATATAAACACATAGTCTTGTGACAAAAGGTAACCAAACTCGAACCTCTGTTTTTGGTGGAATACAGAATAAACGCAGAAAACGCGATTCGGCCATGATGCGTACGCATATGCGTTGTGAGCGTCAAGTATAACTCAGCCCTTGGTCACCTACAGCCCAGGAATTGCCATACCTCTCTAATAATGGCTGATAAACACCACTGTACATGTCTGTCAGACTCTACAGGGAAGCGACCTGCCATGTTCCCGGTACCAGACCTCAGCTCAGCTCTGCTCAGCTCTGGGATCATGACTGAGAGAAGTTGGGGAATTTGAAAAGCTGCGAATGTGTTCAGCAAAGCCATCTATCTATCAGGTGTACGCCAAGTGTTTCGCAGCCTGCTGTTTACACTTTTTTTTTGAGAATGTAGGTGGCATTTCCATAACTTGTTTAGTGTGCATCACATCTTCATCTTAAAATATTGGTTGGCATGAAGCAGCCACACTGAACTGCCAGGAAAAGTCTAAATCGACATTAGTGCCAGTAAGAGAGAGATTCAGCCTGGAATCAGCATACGATTACACTTGTACCTCCAAAGGCATTTCCACAGGAACGCTGAGGCCCTCTAAGGTCACGTTTAGATGACAGAGTTCTCCATGATTGTTGAGGGTTCCTGTCCTTCACCCATAGACGAATGGACCGTTTTGGTGATTGATTCATGTCATAGCTTCACTGCCAATAGCTGAGACCCCCCCTTCTGGGCAGATGGAGCTACTGCTTCACACCTGGCCACAGTCGTCACCACAAACAGGTGTCACCTGCTCCCACGCGGGGCCGCGCTGAGAAGCTGCTTAAAGCGCGGTGTTGGGGTCACGCTTCCCACCTCAGCCAATGTTTTCACAACATGACTGTTTTGGCCTCGTTGTCCGAAACGCATTTAAATTTCGCTGGATTTGCCAATAGGATGGCAGTGAAGGTGACTCTTTGCATCCAGATTCAAATTGCATTCAAAGCCGGCGAGAAATTAAATCTGCATCCGCAGGAGCATGTCTCAATGCGGCGAATATGTTTCCTTTCCTTGGGGGGGCACGGTGGTGCAGTGGTTAGCACTATCTCCTCACACCTCCAGGACCAGCATTCACTAACTGCCCATAGATGTATGTGTGTGTGTCTGTGCCCTGCAGTGGGTTGGCATCCCATCCTGGGTTGTTCCCTGCTTTGTGCCCATAAGCTCTGGATCCCCCGCAACTGTAAATAGGACAAACAGGTACAGGAAATGGATATATGGACAATTTCCTTATAAACCATGTGTCTTCCCTACCACCAAAGCCATGCTCTTGGGAATATTAGTAACTGTCTGACCCCCCTCCCCCCCACATTGTTTAGCCTGGGGTCAGATGCAGGGGTGACTGACGTTCCAGTTGTGGGTTATGTTATGTTTGAGGGCTTGCACTTCCATTTCTGAAGGGACTTAATCCACCAAACAAAGAAAATAATTACCGCTTTTCCCTCTTGATGGCACTTATTTAATACTTCGCCGCTCTAGGTCCCTGTTTGATTAATTTGTATTGCCCCCCCCCTCCCTTCCAGAAGCTAGGCCTTGCTCTGCTCCCCCTGGCAGTGAAATAACAGAAACTGCTCTGTCACACGCGGTCGGATCCTGCTGGAAATTCGCAGGCACAGGGAACATCAGAGCTTGCCAACGCAGAGACTCTTTTTTTTTTTTTTTTACACGCTGTTGCTGTAACGTTGCAGAAACGTGAGAACTAGGTGTCTGTTTGAATAATAAAAAATCTGTGTGTCATGCTGAGCGCTGTGTCTTTGACGAGCAGCTCATTAGCAATCGTGGCTGTGGGGGGGCCGACGCGGGCACTGCCTCGGACGCCCGTCGGCTGGGGTCCTGTGGAGGGACTCTGCCAGTCCCAGACAGGGCTGCATGCCTTGCCTCCATGGAAACACCCCAAAAGTGGCCACACAACTAATAACTTTTAGGTGACAGTTTAGGAGTTAAAGTTTGATTACTTCGGTTGACCAGGGATAATGAAGTGAGGGGGGGGTCAGTGTCGCCTCGCATGTGTTAATGGGTCCCTGAGGTCTGAGGTCTGCAG